TTATAATAATTCGAATTATTATAATATGTCTTTTCATTTAACAATATTGTAATGTGTTATCCTTTGATGTTAATCATATGTATATATTATAACAGTTGTTCTGCTTTTTGTTAGTCGTTTCCTGATGATCATAATTGTAAATTATCGAAAGCTCGAAATAAACTCGTAATTTTCGTTGAAAATTAAATATGTTCTTTGTTGCAGTCTTATACTGCTTTATTACTTAAATAATAAAGTTGATTGTATTTATGAAACGAATTTTGGTCCAAGATATCATACATTCTTCTTCTCTATATGAGATGAAAATATCTGCAAGTCAAAAAGCACAAGTTATCTTCACTCTACTCAATTCACTGTAGGTTAAAAGTTTCAAAAAAAAAGAAGAATTTTTTCTACTATAAATTTAATTAAGAATTTTCAAATGAAAAAAATCTATTAAAAGACATTTTATTCTTCAAAATCATTTAATCTTATGTAATATTGAATAATCTAAATAAAAAATAAATAATTACTTTCATGAGGAACATTTCTCGATAGTTCTTTAGAATTTACAATCAAGTTTACTGTATCTTTATCGAATGTTAATGTAAATTATTCCAATTGATATTGAATAAGTAAAGATAATATTTGAATTAATAATTGTGATAATAAACATCGAGTAATCTTAAGTGATTTGAGATTAGGAAAACAAAAAGAATTTGAATAAGTTTCATGAAAATGAATATATTTAATTAAAGAAGAAAAATATGATGAATTTAAAATTAATGGTTGTAATATTGATGAAAATTTTTTATAAGATAAATCTGGTTGATTAAAAATAAGTCCATTTTTATCTATTGAAAATAGTGAATAAATAAAAGACTTAATACGGTCTATTTAATGACCATAATGATATTAATATTTTATTACATTATAAATAACAAAAATTTATTGAACAATATTTTATTTGGTAATGTTTCCAATTTACTTATCATTTTATGTCAAAATAAAAACAAATTAGTTCTCTAAAATTAATATAAATGATTTTTATTAAGCACCAAAGAAAAACAATTTCTTATTGAATACATAGAAAAAAACATCTTTTTTTATTAATTTTTTGTTTCAAGACTCAACAACAATACTAAACTATTTTTTAAAGTTTAATTCTGTAAATCAAAGATTGATACAAGATGAATCAGAATCTAGCTGTATACTAAAAAAAAATGATAATTAGACTCTTCATGTAGAACATATTTACACGATAATCTGAATAAACTTTTATGACAGAAACCTTAGATAAAGTTGAATCTACTTTTTTTCTAGATATATACATTAATAAATACCGCATACAACGAACTTGATAGAACAAAAAATCAAAATGGCATCATCAAGAAAAATCATTTTTTCTTTCACTTTTTCAAAGGATAATTGTGGATAGGAACCTTAATCTGTGCAAAAAATAATCGTCCGATGTGACTATTGTGTAGTGAAGCTAACGAGAAAAATGTATTCGTATTGATGATGACATGTCTATTTCTCTTCCCATTATATAGGTATACACAATATATCGATGAAAACGGACGAAGAAAAGAAAAAAAACAGAAAAAGATGCGACCATTACATTACGCTGCTTGTCAATATTAGTATGCCGACAGAGCAGATAAAGTATAGTGAGTTAAGCGAATCAATATCAAATGCACAATGTGTCGTACCCTCTAATAATATTGAAGATACCAAAATTGAAATTAAAACTAATCGATAGAGAAAATTGTTCTCTATCAAACTGCATATCTATTTTTCTCCGAAACAGTGGCTGTAAATAGAAATCTTTAATGAATGCTGACCAATCCATACACAGATGATTTTAAGTGGCGTCACCATTGAAACAGCATATGTAGTGGCAGCACCACTGATGGGTTGAAGTAGGCTCAGCCCACCTGTAACTTCATTAAGCCCACCCTGAAAAGTTTTTGCCATTAATATTTTTAAACAAGTTTCTGATCAGATCAAAGAGAATTCAATACAATATCAAAAATACTAGCGGAAATCCCAGTATCGGTGGGTACGAGTATGAGGGTGCGGATGTTGGTGTGTGTGAGGGTGCGGATGTTGGTGTGTGTGAGGGTGTGGGCGTGAGTGGGAGTGTAGATCTTCCTATTACATAGACACTCACATCCACACCAACACCCACACACACCCACACCCTCAATTCAGTCTTAATCAAGATTTTTTAAAATAGATATGTATATGCATTTGAGAAAGTCAGTAATGGTGCAAATATTGATTCACATGATGACGATGATGAAGATTCTCAACGACACAATCTTTCACAATTACAACGTGTACTACAATCATCCTGAAAGTTTGGTGATCATGAACAAGACATCAGTCGTGAATCTGTGAGTAGCCTGGTAGAACGGTTATCAGGATATACATGATTGGAGATGTCATTGAAGTGCTTGAAAAGAAAGCATAAAAGAGGTCAGAATTGTTTATTTTTGCAGAGAGGAATGTGAAATGAAACGTCAGAACGTATTTTGAAGTGATTTTTATTTAGAATCATTTTCTTGACAAACCGTCCCCCGTCCTTTATCAAACTTAAAATTGAAAAATAGTAAAGAAATAGAAAAGTAAAAAGAAAGAAGCCTAAAAGTAGTTTCTTACATTATTTGCAAACGAGAACACAGTCTACCTGGGTTAGCTGTTCAGTTCATGAACTGAAGGTCTAGAGATCAATACTCTATGTGTTCACATTTAATTGGCTCTGTTTAGCCGTATCAGACCTGCAATGGATTTGGCTCTAAAACATCAAAGATTTTCCCTAGGGTAACCTAGAAAATATTCAAATGAAAAAAAAACAAACAAAAATACCCATAATCTTTTTGAATGTCATTATTTTCCATTTTCTTTCTTCCTTCTTCATATTGATCTAATTCATATTGTTTTCTGAAAGGATGTTTTTCCTCTTTTTCTAGTATTTCTGACTAAATACAAATAAGTTAAGCGTTCGAAGAACCGCCAACAGGTAAATAAAAAGAATCTCTTTCCTTTGTTTAAATTCATCCATTAGTTACTGTAAAATTATTTTCGATTGATAAATTCTATTTGCTCGTTTATTTTCTTTTGGTTCATCTTGTTCATATTTAAGATTATTTTCATCTTATTGTACTAAATGTCTTTCATTATCTTGTTATGACGAATGTTCAGGTTAGTAATTTTTTAGCTTATTCTGTTCTGCTGAATACGCACTATGATTATTTATTATCGATTGTTTATTGATTTTTTCATTAACAATTGCTTGTCGTTTGGTTTCACGAGCTGAATACAGGGAATTAGAACCAATTCTTAAATAAGAATGTGGGTGTAGGCATTGGTGTGGATCTTGGTTATCTCTGCACTCGCATCCATACTCTTTTTGTCATGATTTCGAAGACTGTTGCTCGTCGAATTCAAATCTGCGATGAAATCACTATATCTCGTTCTGACTTATACAAATGTAGCATGGAGTATTACTCGTTTGTAGTGTAATAACGCTTATCTCTTGCAACCAATATTTTTTCACATGTATATATATGGAGAGAAATAAAACAAAAGACAAACAATTAAGCTGTATCACTCCGTATGTCATACAACGCTTATCTATTTACAGTTTTTTTTGTCGGTTATATTCGTCATTCAGTTGAATCTATCCGATGCGGAACACTATGTCCATTCGCATTTGAATCGTTCAATGTCAGTGTACCTGAAAAAATATGTCCACAATATACCGATCAAGAAAATGCACAATGCTCACTCACCCTGATGCTTGACATTAGATCATCTGGTAGGGGTGGTGGTGGCGTACTAATGATTGAGAATCAAACAGCACCTGATCAGCTTCATATTGAAACAATATTTGGTCTTCATATGAGTTTAACTACTATAATTAGATATACTTGCTCTATGTCGGACGACTGTGCATGGGCATTTGCTAATGAACTTTTGGGTCCTAAATTAGCTGAGTTAAATACTTTTATATTCAAAAAACATTCAATAACTTGCTCTACACAAATGTATCGAATCCAAACGGAGTTCAATGTACGGGTAATACATGTACAATGAGTAGCTATTGTCAAGGTAAACTCGAAGAGATTCGCTCACCTGAACACAAACTATTAAATATCGACAATAATTTACCATGTCTAAGCACACTGTCAGAAATCAATATGATAACTATAGCGCAAACATATTCTTATCCCAATACTATCAAAACAAATATGTCGTTAATCTGTAATCGTTTGGAATGCAACAATATATCAACTGTTATGCAAGTCTATGAACTTTTGAATTATCGATATGTTCTACCACTAAATGATTCAATTTTAAATATTAATACATCTTTTACACCAATTACTCCAAAACCACAATCTTCACTTTCATTCATCGCTGCTCCATCACAAAACATAATCTTCTATATTATTTTAAGCTTGCTATTTGACAATATAATTTGGTAAAGTTTAAAACAAAGAGTCAATACTTTTCAAACAAATAACAAAGAGATTTTGTCACCTTATATATTGAGATATCCTTAAGAATGGTTGAAGCTGAACGCCTATTTGATGGTTTAGGTGTAGTTGCAGCTGTCAGAGATCCTGTTTCTATTTCCGTTTTCAAATTCTACCAGAGTAATTTGAATCAAAACATCAAGTTGCACAGATTGTTTCAGAAAAAAAACTATCAATCAAGCCAATCAAAACAATAAAATGTTTTGCGCCGAAAAATTGCGTAGGCCAGAGTCGCAAGTGAAAGCGAGAACTCCATTTTACTGTTCACAGTTCTTGCTCATAAGTGAAGTTATGCATAAAGGAGAAAGTCATTTACTGTAAAATCTAATCTGACCTTAGACTAATTCTACGTAATTCGATTTACGCATTTTTCTCTTTTCTCAATAATGGTCGATATTGACTTAATTTCCTGTGGAACGAAAATGCATCGGTAAAGTACTCATAATAACTGTGCCGAATAGTACTGGAAACTAAGAATATTAATTTTTTTATTGACTCAGTTTATCGTCTCACAAAAAAGTTCAAGAGATGTAAAAAGGTGGATAAGAACGTATTGAGCATTAACGGAAAATAAAAATAAAAACTAACACAAACGCAACAACTCAATCTACAAGTGAAAAGAAGAAAAGCAAAAGAGATTAAACGAAAAATGTAGGTATTAAAAACAAAGTGAAAAAATGTCATGCAGTATTTAAGACGTGTCAAAAGGAAGAGAGAGAAAGAGAGAGTATTAGATGAAGAGCATTGCAATGGAGAGAAATACCGTCGACCGCTTGCAGTATCTTAGATAAATTGTAACAAGTTTATTTGTAATTAGTTCATATGACTTGGGTTGATCATCAGTTACCTTGCTACGTGTATGGATATCATAATTACATTTTTCTAATAGTATATTTGATAAAGTTGTGATGCTTAGCATTATGATTAAAGTTTAATTAGTGATCAGATTGATTGTTTATGCATCTTTTAAATTTCTTGTCTTTTGTTATGCTATTTATTATTTCGTTGTTGATGCGAAGATTATGTGAGTTTTAATCAATTTATCTATATTGACTTCAATTCATTCCATGATGTTTTATATTCTGCATTTTCCTTTCAGATTTATGCAAATATGAGTAAGTCTATATTATATGTCTGTATTCTATTTATGTAGGTTGTAAAAAGTACTAGGCAAAGAACATATCAAGGTACTGAATGTTTCTTGTATAGAATTACAACTCTGCCTTGCGCACCACTTCAAAGTTTTCCTAAGCAACCAACATATATTTTGCTCTTTCAGTTAGCCTTTATAAAAAATTTACTATTTTTATATTTCGAAAGCCTATTGATCGGTATCAGGCTTTAGCCAAAGATGTTGCGACCTTAAAGGACTGTCATGGTTATTGAAAGAAAGGCACATCAGTTGCTTGAGGGTGTGGAGGTGGCTTGTGTGAGAGATGACTTCGCTGTGGGTGTGGGTGTGGATGTCGACGTGGCATCGTGTTCGACAGTAGAATTAGATGTGAGTGTCGAATTGGATGTGGATATGGGATTAGGTATGGATGTCATCTGAGGGTGTGAGTGGGTGTCAGATACAGTTATGGATGTCAGCCAGAAATGCTGGCGGGTTAATCTGTTATGAGCTAACCCGCCGAACTCGTGACCCGATCGGTGAATTACGGGTCGGACCAGATCTCTGACGGGTCAAAGATTGACAGGTTAAGTTTTTCTAAGACCATCGAGTTTTCTGGATCGAGTCATGGTTTTATATGTCCCCACGAATGCAATCTGGTTCAATGTTTGCGTGAGGCCTTTCATTTTCTGTTATCTAGTATATATTTGTCTTCTCTCATCAATCAAAGTGCTCTGTTTATTTCAGCTACTCCTTCATCCGATAGTTAATTTACGTTTACATTTTTCATACGGCTTCAATGCCAAGAATTTTATCATAATTTGTTCTAATTACATCTGTCTCGTCGTGATTCATTTTATAACTTTCAAGTAAGCACATTTATATGAAAACAGATCTTTCTAGAAGTTTGATATTTGTAGAAATAAGTTTTAACTACTGTTTTCTCTTATCAACATGTTTTGCATCCAAATCGTGCTTTTCTCGTCTTCCGTAGTTTTTCATCCTTTTTAGAGGTTTATTTCGATAACTTCCATTTTTTTAATCTTTTGTATTATGTTCATTTTGCAGTTATCGATGAAAACTTAAATGTGCCATTAGAATTTTGCGTTTCCAGATTTATGACCGAATAGAAATTCATTTTTTTTTGGACGATTATGTAAATATGTTTTCACTCGAAATAATATAAACTTTATCTGATAAAACGCTTATTTTTCGTGAGACTTTTATTTGCATTTATTTTATCGCTATGATTTTTTTTCACTAGATTTTTCATAAAGAGAATTTTTATGTTCGTAAAAACTTCTTTTCTATTAAATATTAAATCAAAGTCATCCAACTGCAAATGAAAGACTGACACTTTATTATATGCTCACAATAAGAAAAACTCATCAATAGTAGCTTTTATTTTTTCGTTATCAGCGAGGAAAACATGACTATTTACATAAGAAGAAATAGTGTCACACATATTTAAAGGAAGTGACTATGTACACATATATCCGGGATTAGTGACAACTAATAGCTACGTCTACAATATCTCATCTTCATTAAATCGATCCATTAACAATAAATATTATTATTTCGAAATCGTTTGTATATTTTTCTCGTTAATTTTAGTAGGGATGTACCTTTTTTTCTCTACAATTATTTTTAGATTCTATACCTATTCAACATCTACAAATTGTAAAAAGAGAATTCATGTGACTTATTCGAATGGTGACAATTGATTTGCACCATTCGAAAAGTTAAATTCAATTTGTATAAATGCTAATTTTGATAATAAAAATGAGCTATTAATTATAAAACTTATTGTAATTATTTATCATCGGATGATGAAATCGATGAATTTTCATATTCAGTCAATTTTCAATTAAGTTGGTGTCAACACGGGTATTTAACACAATGTATAACGAAAAACAGCATATTTCCCATTTCTAGACATATGATTCGATTATGGAATTATAATCAATATGGAGATAAAGTACTTGAATCAGAGGACTTTTTTTCCACAAATTGTAACAATTTATGTCCAACACAAAATTCAAAACTTGATGACGTGCGTCAAATGTGAGGAGAATTGATCCTTGAGTATTCAATTGACTTGTACCAATTATTGGGCGATCTATAGTGATAGTCTTACAGAAATAGATTTTGTACGTAAAGATAATTCACTTAGATTTGATTATTTTTCAATACGAATTCATTCGAGTGTTTCAGTCAATTAACGTGATAGGTTTCATGGAAATATATTTCTTCCATCGATTCCAATAATAAAAATGATACCACTTTAGATTGCAAATATTCCATTTGATTTATCAATGGTTTTAGAATCTTCTATTCCATAGTTTATCGAACTAAATATTGTTGAAAATTTTACCACTAGTATTGATTATGAATCAGAGACAAATATAATATTGATAATAAATGATAAAAAGCAACAAAAACATGCTACTTAGATATTAAGACATAAAAACCATCCTTTCGAAGAAAATTTTTAATCCAATATTTTAATTGATCTTGCTTATCGGCCAGTATTTAAATTAATGATTACTGTGCTAACAATTGATTTATCTACAGAAAGATGTTTTTAATATTTGAAGCAAAGCGGAATTATTCATCGTTTAATTCATTTGAAAAACTAAACTTTAATTGGAATGAAGAAAAGGTTTCTGCAACTTATTTGCCAATATCAGTTGATGTTCGTATTTCAACTTGTTTTATTTGCTCTCATACAACGATTGAAACTCGAAAATTGAAGATTTCATTTTTGGTTTATAAAATAAATTCTCGAAACAAATATTTAAATAGATTTGAAATTTCTTATTCAACACCTTCATTAATTGATCTTGGTCAATTCAAGTTAAGTTCAGGTCGTATGTATAAAGCCCAAAAAAGTAAAGATATGCTATAAAATACTTTCTTTATTCTTGATTGACAACTCAAGCAGATAAACGAAAGTTTAGATTTATATTACTTAAGTCAGCTGTGTCTGATTTGGCTTCTATACTGAATGTATCAACAATAGGTTTTCATTACAACAGCTCATTTAGAACTAAACATAATTAAATGACAGTAGCTATTATTACAGTCTTGCTATCTTTTTCAATTTTTGCTATTGATCTGACTGTTCTCAAGTTACTTGAAATACTTGAACTTCAAGGAAAAAGTATTCATTTACCATTATATTCGAATGCTATTACAGCTTTTATAAATCCTGAAGAGATTCAAAAAACAAGTCGGCGACATTGGAAACAAAAAGCAATATTGTTACATGAATGATAATGATGAGTAAAACTTAATGGCTACTCATTAAGGATAACTTTTTCTCTGTCACTGTGTTTTTGATGTTGTTTTTATAGTTTATAATCAATGTTGTACTTATTCGACCATCACTAAAAAATTCACTGGAACTCTTGATTGATTCGATTTATAAGACGTTTTCTTGTTAC